GGGTTGTATTCCTCTCTCTGACTTTCACTCTAAAGATATTCAGCCTCTGCATATTTATTTTTGACATCCTTGTCTTTATTCTATTCACCCTTCCTCAGTGTCTTAACGTTGGCTGTTTTACACTTCAGTAAATACAAAATTAAAAAAAAAAAAAAAAAAGTTAGAACTTGGGGCTGGCAAAGACCAAGAGTGTCTTAGCGTGCTGCCTCAGTGGGAGATTCTGTAGTGCTGTACACTGTTGGCTAAGAAGTTTTTTTTGTAATGGAAGGATTCTACTGTGTTCTGTGATCTTTTCCAAAGATAGGACAGAACAGAAGAGTGAGAAACGTGAGTATTCAGAAAGTGGAAACAGTTTTATGAGCATCTAGAGCACGAGCAGATCTTGTTGAGGCATTTTTGTGTGAGTTAAAGGAGTTTCTTATCTGTTTCTTATTACCGTGTAAAGTGTCTGGATTTCATGAAGTTGTAAGTGGTGACATCCAGAAGGACATTTTCAAGTGCAAATAAGAGACCAATGAGGGTAACTTCTGTTCAGCTTGAGGGCTGGCAGTCACATTATTTCAGTATTTTGTGACTCAGGAAAATGCATCCGTTGGGGTGCCATGAAGAAGGAATATATCGATGCTCATTTTGCAGTGATATGCAGGATGTTGTGTCTGCCCAACAGTCTCTGGAAGTGACAGTGAAAAAAAATCTACCTTCACTGAAGACTTGTTTTCAAGACCTGAAATATCTAAGCAATACACGTTAAATAAAACAAATATAAATGACTATGAATTAGTGCTGACTCTTGTTCAACCAGCCACCATAACTTTTTGCTGTGAACTGTATAGAGAAATGTGTACCAGAGAGACAAAAGAGTCAATAGGAACAATAGAGTAACCAAAAAGCAAGAGGGATCTGGACTGAATTGCTTATGCTCTGTTACAGTAACGGGGGCACCATCAGTACGTGAAAATTCCACAGCAATGAGAAGCAATTTCATGGTAATTCATGCAAACATTGCTCTCGTCTTCTGGCAAGGTTATCTAGGGATAAAAGTTATAAAAAGAAGGTATTCAAATGAACTTCTTGCTTTAATTGACTGGAGGTCCGTGCAGCATCTCTTGTACTTATCTCTTTGCATTCATACTTAAAAAAAAAGAAGCATTAAAATGAGGATCTTTTTTTTTTTTTTTTTTTTTGCATTTAGTAGTCGAGAAGAAGCAAAATACTACATTACACAGTGAAAAGTGAAAGGACTGAATTCTGAATGATGACTTATGCAATGCTATACATATATATACAGAATGTACATAATGTACATGAAGACATATGCATAATACATACGTGATTCTGAAGTCTGTCTTTTGGGAATTGATTGTTATTACATCACTTGATCTACATGATGCCAGTAAAACTTCATGTAACTGATTTGTTTTATGAATCTGCACAGTAGGTTTTGCATACGGTGAAAATCACACCACTGTAGATTTGCAATCAAACTGGCTTTTAAGGACTGCCTACTATAGAAGCTGAGGGGAAAATGGCCAATACTTCAAACTCTTGATCAATTCTTAAAATATCACTTTGGTTGCAAGTTAAAACAAACAAACAAAAAACCCACAAAAGCAACAAAACCAAGACTAAACACATTCAGATTTTTCTTACTCTTTGCCTTTTGTGTATCCTAGTGCAACTGTAATCCCAAATTTTCACCTCCTCCTTCACTTCTGAAAATATTTGTTTGGTGGTACTCTTCTGCTAAAAAACATCTCTTGATTTTACCAAGAGAGAGCATACGAGTCTTGATATTTATGCAGAGAAAGTTAAGAAATATCATTATTTTGAACACGACTCTTAGCAAGATTAACAATAATAATTATCTATAAAAGTCACGACTGAGAGAAAGACTCCTGCTAGTATGCAGTAAATAAATACTTCTGTCAATTTTAGATGGGTCTTGACAGTTGTTTTTTTTCTTACTGTCTCCATCTTAAGAGAAAAGAAAAAAATTATTTAATACTTCTCAGTCTATTATCTGCCAATCTTAGGACTGTTTTATAACTACGGAAAGACATCTTTAGAATACTAGATTTCACCAGATTAAAAGCCTTTGTGTTGCTTTGTTCACAAGCTATTTCAGAAGATGAAATGAACCTGTGGTAGGTGTGCATGGGATTATTTTACGTTCCTGCTACAATTTATATGACACTCTCAAAGCTGAGGCATTAAGGCATATGTTTCTTCTGACAAGGAATTTTAAAACGTTTTACTGTGAAAATGAAGAAGGTTAAGGCTCTAATTTCCCTCTTTTCTATCCTCCTCCTGCTCTTCTTTCTATTCCTCTTGCCACTCTTTCCTGTTGTTTATCATTTCATTGGTAAATAATAACAGCTTATCAGCATATTTACTTCTCTTATGCAAGTTACAATGGTACAGGTTATTGCCAGAGAGCTGTTGCACTAAACCACTTAAAATAGCAATAGCAGTAGCAGAGCCAATACTGTCAATATTTGAGGTGTTCCTTTGGGATTTTGGCTTCACATGGGAGAAGTGTGTTCTGTGTGGATGGCAAATGTCTTTGACAAATTGACTATCTTCCTTTTTAATGTAGGGGGATAAAAAAGCCCTGAAATGAGTATCTGTATCCCCTGATTTCTATTTCCATGTAATTACTCAGCGGCACAAGTATTCTGTCTTAAACTGCAATTTAACTTTCAGGAGAAACAATCTGTATTGTGAGAAGAGGGAGCATCTACAGTAACTTTGCCATCTTTCAGCTTATCTGATATGACTGAAACTACTGCGCTCTAGGCAAGTAACAGTGCTACCCTCTGGCAGTATGTGCATTCAGGACTTTACCCTTCCTTCCCTTCATGCAAAGCTATTGATCTCCTATTCAAATCCTGAAATGGGTCAAATTAAAAGACATTGAGTGACTTCCTTGCTAGCGAGGATCTTGGGGCAGGGTGGCTGCAAGGTTGGTTGATGATCAGTGTGCCCAGGCAGCAAAAAAGGCCAGTGGCATCCTAGTTTGTAGAAGAAGAAGTAGTGCTGCCAGCAGGAGCAGGGAAGTTATCGTCCCTCTGTACTTCAGCTCTGCTGAGTCCTCACCTTGAGTACTGTGTTCAGTGTTGGGCCTCTCACTATGAGAAAGACATTGAGGCTCTGGAGCGTATCCAGAGCAGGGCAGTGAGGCTGTGAGGGGTCTGGAGCACAAGTGTTATGGGGATCGGCTGATGGAACTGCGATTATTTAGTCTGGACAAGAGGAGGCTCAGGGGTGACCTTATCTTTCTCTGCAACTACCTGGAGAGAGATTGTGATGAGATGTAGATCAGCCTCTTCTCTCACATAACTAGTGATAGGACTAGGGGAAATGGCCTCTAGTTGTGCCAGGGGATGTTCAGGTTGGATATTCTTCTCTGGCTGGAATTTCTTTTCTAAAAGATGGGACTGGTGCTGGCACAGGCTGCCCAGGGAGGTGGCAGAGTCACTGTCCCTGGAGGTGTTCATATGCTGAGAGTAAGGGACATGGTTAAATGGGAAAGTATAGGTGGTGGGTGCATGGTTGGACTAGATGATCTTGGAGATCTTTTAAAACCTTGGTGGTTCTATGGCCTTCTACCAAGCACCTTCTACACTCGTAAGGAAGGGCTAAAAAGCGTTAGCTGTAATTTCCTTAAGGATTACCCTACCTGGGAGAAATGAGTCTTCAAAGACTTTCTTATAGGAGTATAAGGATCCCTTTGAACTTTTCTATTCACCATACTTAAGGCATTTTATATGTAATACTGAAGGTGTCTGATGGGACCAGTAAAACTTTACATCTGTTCTCTAGAGCTACATCTGGCGTAGGCTGGCAGAAATGACTGACATTGCCATTTTGCCCAGATCCCACTCTGTGTAATTTTCATTCAGACTGTCTGGGCTAGTTTAATGCCTTGAGAATATCTAAGACAAGTATTTAATTAGAGTGTGTCTTTCTTCGGGGGAAAAAAGAAGAACACAGGAGTGGTTAATGAGACCTCTTCGTTGATCCTTCAACACCAGTAAAGTTGCTTTACAGTGATTAAGACTGAAAAACAAGGAGTGTGAAAATATGCTAAGGAGCTGTGAAAGCAAGAGTTTCAAATATCAAGCATATTATGTCTGGTGCTGTATTAAAGTAGGCCACCTGTAGAAATGGCAAGTGCATTATGAAACATTAGTAGTAATTTTGCAGGAGTATGGAAAGGATGAATAATCCAGCTACTGAAAGTGAGCAGAGATGCCCAGTATCCAGTATTGTATCATACAGAACAATTAAAATGATAAATATTGAAATTTTACATGAAAGGGAAAGTAAGTCTGGAAAAACACTTTAAAGCACTTTTCCCCTCCCCCCCCTAACATTTGTGATACTTTTGAAGGCATTACTAAAGCAATGTCTGTTTAAAATGAAGCAATCCAAGTTAGCTGAAATGAGCCAGTAGTTGACTGCTTACAGCACTTCTGTTGGTCTTCAGGGATTTTGCCAGCTTTGCAGGTGGCCTGATTACAAACACAGAGTTAATGTCATCCTGTCTCAGCAAATATGGTAAAAACAGAGAATCTTCCCAACAGAAGAGCCAAAAAAAAAAAGCTTAAGGAGACTTCTAATTTTTTTTTTCTCCAAAATTGGCAGTGAGGAATTCCAATGTGGTGTGTTAATTGCCTTAAATACTCTGACTCAGAGCAGTAATACATCATTAATTTTTACTCAGAAGAAAAAAACCCTAAAAAGCTTGTGTAAGTTTTACTTTCATCTTGTGTGTGAGCATTGGTCTATAATTATTTTTGTTCATCTATTCTGTGGAAGAGTAGATATCTAATCTGTACGATCCCATCTAAGTTTTTGCCCTTTGTGAGGCAGAACTGATACTCAAGTAGACAGAGTCTGAGTCTGACCTAACGCTCATTTTAGTCAGTGGAAAGACTGACGAACTCTTTTTCATCAGAGGTTAATGAGAGGAAAATCATGCTCTTTGGAGTCACGGTCAAGAATCGTGTGCTGGCTGTTCCCTTCCATTTTCAGCTGGGTTAGCAGTACGTATTGCACTGTTTTTTTGTTTCTCAGTTATTCCTTGTAATGGCAAGAGTTTCAGAAGTTCCACAGTAAGTGAAATTAAGATTCTAAAGATATTTGAAATTAAATAATGGGGATATTGAGTGAAAAATCACTCCTTTCTCCCTTCTTTCATATGTCATATTAGTCTGGTATGCTCATCTCCATACTTTTTTTTTTGTTAATCTAAATTTAGAGGGAGGTGCAAATAACTTTTTGTAAGCATTGTCCAGCTTGTGTATATAGTCTAAGAACTCTAAGACTATGACAGTTACAGCAGTAAGGTATCAGATTGAAATCAGACTTTTTGTTTTAGTCCTACACTGCTCTTTTGACATGATTCAAAATATGTGAGAACACCTTCTTCGAGTGGACAGAGGTACTTCCACAAAAATGTGTGCTATTGCCAGAAGGATGAAGCAGATTGGTTGGTAAGTGTGGCTGACCTGTGTTTGGTGCAAATGTCTGAGGGAATGGGAAGAGAACTGACTGTTGCCCATACTCATGCTCGTTTCTGAGGTGAAGCAGGAGGCTTCTTGGAGAGGTTCTTGCACCCAGCCGTATGCACCCACGTAGGGTGAGAATGGCGCTGCAGTTTATAATTTCATGCAACAGTCTAAAATGCCTTTCATACAGTTTGCAGTCATATACTGGGCTGAGGATGGCATTGAATTCATATTGTTTGTAGAATCATGTAACAGCTTGGGTTGAAAAGTACTACAAAGATCACCTTGCTTCAACCCTCTTGCCATTGTCAGTGATACCTTTAACTAAATCAGGTTGCCAGAAGACCTATCCAGCCTGGCCTTGAACACTTTCATGTTTCTGCTCTACTAATGGAGCTATGGGGATAGCTGCTGTCAGCAGAGGACAATGCAAACAGTATATTCTTTGAGTACATGAGCAGGTGTTAGAAAAGCTAACATCAGTAATTGGCAGTGACTCCAAATAATTCAACTCTTGAAGGTCAGCTGGATGGAGAAGAAACTGGGCAGTGATATGCCTGACAAGGTAGCACACTGGCACAGAGCAGAATTACCTCATCGGCAAGTAAAGGTCTATTGTGTTTAGTTGTCATGAGTCAGAAGCATAGAATTAGGTTTGTATACATAAGAATTAGGCTTACTTTCTCTAGGTTGAAGTTTAGACAAATCGCATTGCATTCTTTTTCTTCAGCCAGTGTTGGAATAATTTTCACTGCTTCTATTTATTTTATAGCTATTTAGATTTGGCATTTAATGTTTCCTGAGAGTATAGTTAATAAAAATACAACTTAACATTTGAAATTATGCGGGTGTAGAAACTGGCTCTGAAATGCATTTATTGCTACTTTGGTGATTTTAAATAGTATCCTCTATGTCAGCACCTCAGTGGTTGTTGAGGTGAGTGAATAAGTGCAATCAGGGTCAGGAATCTCCTGTAATGAGCAAACAGAAGTCAGTTTCTCAGCAGGAGTATGGTCAGCTAATTCACTTAAAGCTCTGACATAACAGCAGTCAGTTTAGAGAGCTGTTTCAAAATTTGGTTTCCTTAGTGGTATTTTTCAAAAAGAAATGGTCTTGTATTATCTTAACCTGATAAGTTGCCACGTTTTTGAAGCTGAATGCATTATGCATTAATGCCTGTTCTATCTTAAAGAGTTCTAGTCCAATAATTGGCTTTTAGAAAGGTAGCTAAGAATTTGGTGGAATAGTACATACTTGGAATATCTTCAGGGGAAGTTTCAGAAGCCACTGAAGGTTGTTTTGTTTTTTCCTTCTTGAAAGAAAGAGTTACTGAATGGGCTCTGTGAACATTTTCAAGAGGGTGCATAAGTTTTTGCTACTTAAATTTTTGCAGTACAGTTCAGTAGCTGACATTCAACTAGAAGGATTCTACAGTAGGGAATGGTACAGAAGATGTTTGTTGCTCTTTCTCACAAAGCCTTCTGAGTTGCGTTATTGAAATGATGTAAAACTGATTCTTGTGCTCAAAGAGCTAAAAAACAGAAAGCATAACAGAAACCCAAACAATAAAAAACAAAGAGTACATAAATATATAACTAGATTTGATATGATCTCAAATGAAATGAAAGGAAAAATGTGCTATAACCAAGTGTGATATTGTTTATATTATTTATGGACTGAAAACTAGTCAAAATCATGACAGTCAAAAGCAATTGGAAATATCTGACCTTCTTTTAGACATTAAACTAATTTTTCACAGTCCGTCCTGAGTGTTCAGGAATCATCAGTCAACTGACACATTCCTCTGAGAAGCAATAGGGATAAAATGTTTTTCAAAATATATTGTCTTTGTTTGATTGTTTGTTTTTGTTATTTGCTAAAAATGTGTTGTATATACAAAGAGAGCATTACAGAGCTACAGTGATTTCAAATAGAAAGGATTAAGAGAGTCCTAATTCCCAAACTGCTATTTACTTATTAGCCAATATCACTTTCATATGATATGCACATTCTAACCAGAATCCCCAAAGATGAGGCCCAGAGGGAGTAGCTGTCTGTACAAAATGAGAACCAGTAGCAGAGTTTGCAATTAACCTTAGCTTCTTGGCGGATAATGAAGTTTCATACATTTTTTATTGTGAGTTATTAATCCAAATATTAATGTCTGTGGGGAATATAAGGAATCGCTTCTGCTATTAATTTTCATTTTCTTCTAATTTAAATTGTTGTCATCCCATGAAACAGAGCAATTTCATGCAATTTTGATGATGAATGACAAACCAGCAGTAGGAAAATACTGAGAGAAAGCTGCTTGAAATCAATTCTGGACTGAGAACTCCTTGGTGTGTATAGCAATATGTTTATCTGGAGAAATTGTGATCCTCTAACAAATCATTTATAAATGGAAAAAGAAGGCTGAATTGGTCATAAATATTAACAACAACAGCCCTTCCAACCCACTGTATTTTGTTCTGCAGACATATGGTATTCAGGTTGGATAGCTGAGAATAAGAGCTTGGTTTTCCATTAGAAATGGTCTCTTGGCATTGCTTTAATATCAGAATGGAAAGTAACCTGGCGAGGGCTATGTATTGGAGAATCCTTGCTGGGGAAAAAGAAAACTATGAAACAAGACTGAAACAATTATGGCAGATTGTGTCTGTCTTCCCATTGAAGACATTTTTTCATGCAGTGTGACCTAGAAAAAAGGGGCTGGCCCGAGGTTCATGTAACAATCACTGATGGTGACAGCAGATTAGAATGTCTGTGTTTTCCTTGTCATGTGGTGGTCTTTTTAGATATCTGGAACATATTCATTTGACTTAAAATAAGCGCCACAGTTTTTTAACATGCATATACAAAAGTTCAGAGTAGAAGTATATATTGTATATGTGCGTGTATATATATATATATAAAAGGATATATTGGGGGATTGGAAATTTTGGCATGTTTCTTTCCAAAGTGATTCTAATCTGACTACAGGAAAAATAAGTGTCTGTTAAATGAAGATATAACAGAACTGATTAAAATTTCTATTTTTGAGCTGTTTTTACTTAGCAGTCCAATCCTGTAGAAACAAATTCAGCTGTGAAGTCTAAGGATATGCACACAGGTAACAAGCTGGGAAAACCATTATACAGGATTCCCAAATAAATTTCATTAGAGTTTGAACACTGTGCTAATAATATATTTTATGAAGACCAAAAGTTCAGAAAGACGACAATAATTCTGAAAATAAATATTATTTTAATGCCATTGCCAGCAGGCATTTAGCAGTGTTTATAGCTACATTTATGTTGAATCACTTTAATTAATAATGAAAATCATCTCCTAAGCATGTGGGAAGTGCAATTCACAGAATCATAGAATGGTTGGAGTTGGAAGGTACTTTTAAGGGCCATCTAGTCCAACTGCCTTCAATGAACAAGAAAACCTGCAGCTCAGTCAGGCACTCAGAGCCCTGTCCAGCCTGACCATGAAAACCAGGTGGGACATCCACCACCTCTCTGTGCAGCCTGTTTGAGTGCTTCACTGCCCTTATCACAAACAAACAAACAAATAATTTTTTTTCTGAATTTTCCCTCTTTTAGTTTGAAGCCTTTTTACCTAGTCTTACCACGACAGACCTTGCTGCACAGCAGTCTCCTGCTACACAACAGGTGTTTTCACCTTATGCATTCCAGTACTTGTTTTGTCTGGGGAGTCTGATAGTGCAAAGCAGGACCAAATAATACATTTTCACTGATGATTTTTTTTCTGTGTATTTTGGATAAGCAGGTTCCAAAGAAATACCTATATTTAACTGCAAAATTTATTTACTTAGTACTTTTCTGGAAAATATCATGCTATCTACACCATACCATTCTCTCAAGGTATATATACTCCTGTGCATACATATATCACTTAGCAAAGAAGACAAATTACCATGATAAATGAATTCCATGATCAACAAAGACAGTCCTTTTTTTTTTTTTTTTTTTTTTTTTGGAGTGCTAGAGTGGTAGTTAACTAGAGTGGTAGTTATAGTATATAGTATAGTATGGTAGTGGTATACTCTATACTTACATGTCTTATCATTCTTTATTAGTGGAAAGATTTTGTTTCTGAGAAAAGCAGGGCTTTTGCTGAATTTGGAGCTCAGTAAGAGCAAGAGATGCTTTTGATCAGATTCCTTATCTCTGGATAGGCAGTGATTCCCTATGAACAGCTTTGTTTGTCTCTGGACTTGAATCATGGCTATACACAGCATACTGAAATGCGATTTTTTTTGTCTGGAACTCTAACCAGATCCCTCAGGTATTCCATGACTTCTGTTCTTGAATTTCCTGTAGATATCAGCTGGAGCTTTCTCTACTTTAACACAAATATGTGAAATAATGTGTGTTTTTGGCTGTTCGTGTCCTACCTAAGAGGTTCTCTCGCTCTCTGTTTCTGAGAATGTAAACATTCACAGTTATACTACAGCTTACGCATGTCAGTGAACGGATTGCCTTCAGATAGGAATTATTTCATTTGACCTAGATACCACAGATCTG